TTCGAAAATAAAAGATTAAAAACTTATTTCTCTAGTGAGTTCTATTTTGAATTGATTTTGAATTGATTTGGAATTGATTTTGAATTGATTTTGAATCAATTTCTTACATTCTAGAGAATCCTACTGTACTTTTTTTTGATTGACCAAACCTTTTTAGGACTTTTGGCTTAGTTATCCAATGCTTCAAAAAATCATTTTTATTTTATTAACATAATTCAAGTCAAGTAAATTACTGTGTTTTCAATTTGGTTTCAAGCTGATTTGAATTTGATTCGAATTCGATTTGAATTTGGTTTGAATTTGATTTGAGTTTGGTTTGAATTCATTTTGATTCAATTTTGATTCAATTTTGAATCAATTTATCAATTCTATGGAGTCTTACTATACTTTTTTGATTGACCAAACCTTTTTAGGACTTTTGGCTTAGTTACCCAAGCTGTTAATGCCTCAAAAAATCATTTTTATTTTATTAACATAATTCAAGTCAAGTAAATTACTGTGTTTTCAATTTGGTTTGAAGCTGATTTAAATTTGATTTGAATTTGATTCAAATTTCAATCAAATTTCAATCAAATTTCAATCAAATTTCAATCAAATTTGATTACTTTAGATCAATTTCTTAAATTCTATGGAATCTTACTGTACTTTTTTTGATCTAGCGTAATTAGAATTAAAATTTCGAAAGTTCTTCGATGATTCTTTCTTGTATCTTTCTTGTATGCTCAAAAGCATCAATCAAATAAGTCTTTTTTTAAAGCGAAATCCTTCCCATTTCTCTTATTTCTTTTATCCTTCAAAATCAACAACAGCCAACATTTTTTTCATTTGAAATTTGAATCTTTCTTTTTTCTCTCTTTTTATGAATCAAATGAATGATTATGAAAAGACCTTTTTTGGGACAAAAGGGACACAAAAATCAAAAGGAATTCCCTCTAATTCTTGTTGATTTCAAATTTGAATTCTTTTTTCTTCTTTCTTCTTTCTTTCTTTGAAGTCCTTTCTTTCTTCTTTCTTTCTTTCTTCTTTCTTCTTTCTTCTTTCTTTCTTCTTTCTTCCTTTCTTTCTTTCTTTGAACGATCTTTCTTACAGATTTTTTACAATTTTTCTTTTTCTTTATGTTCTTCTTCAAATTGTTCTTCAACTGTTCTTCAAGTGTTTTTGTTGAGCTTTCTTTTCTTTTCCTTCAACCACACGGTTCATTTAACTGAATACAGTAATTTGTCAAACTGGGGCTCACGTTTAGCCAACTGCAAACACCAGTCGGATATGGGTATTCCAAATAGTGTGTAGTACTACAAAACTCTTTGCGCTTTGCGCTTTGCGGTTTGTTCGAGTCCCGCTGCCGACAAAGTCTTTTGCTTTTTTTTAAAAAAACAAACAAATTTAAGCCTATTACAGTGGAATTTCGAATAGTTTTAAGTCAAAAAGTTGATTAGAGTTGAAAGTTGAATGATTAGAGTTGATGATTAGAGGTAACTAAACCGGGAAACGTTGCAGCAAAAAGGCGAGCAAAGGCGAGCATTTCCCCTCGAATTTCTGCAACGATAATCCCCAAAAACATGCGAACTCACTCACCCTTTTCCCCTTTTCCCCTTTCCCATCCGCATTCCAAAACATTCTCATTTGTTTCCAATTTCCCAATTCATCACTTTTTTTTCAAAAGCCTATATTGAGTATTAGATTCTATATTAGAAAAACAAGCGACACTGACCCAAATCGCTTTATTTTCTCTCCTTTTCCTTCTAAATTCAGCGAAAATTCGATTCATTTGTGCCAAAAACAGCTTTTTGCAAAAATTCCAAAAGAATCTTTTTTCTCTCAAATTTCAGCTGTTTCTGATGTTTTTAAAACAAAAGTTCGGCAAAAATGGCAATTTCTCGCAAATCTTTTCAAATACGAAAGAAATATAATTGGCATTCATTGGGAAAAGAATTTCTGTAATTGTATTTTCGTCTCCGAAAGATTGTTACTGTTTTTCACCGTTTGGAGAATATTTTTGGAGAGTTTCGGCTTTAATCAACGTTTGAATCAACGTTTGAAAGGGCCTTTTTTCTCGCTCTTGCACACGTCGTTGGTGGCCGAGTGGCTAGCGCTTTTGACTCCAAGATGAGCTCGGCTCCGAAACCATCATGGTTCGGGTCCGCTACCTCGCAGTTTTTTTCACAACAAATTGTTTTGCCTTTACTTTGAGTCTAGGCTTTGATCGGTATTTGAAAGGGCTTTTTTTCTCGCTCTTCTAAACGTCTCCGATGGCCTAGTGGTAAGCGTGCTCGACCCCAAAGTGCACTCGACTCCCAAACCACCATGGTTCGGGTCCGCTAGTTCGCAGTTTTTTTCAAATTCAAATTTGTGCCTTTCCTTGAATCTAGGCCTTTATCGGTCTTTTTTTCTTTATCGGTCTAAAGGGCTTTTTTTCTCGCTCTTGCAAACGTCTCTGGCCTAGTGGCTAGCGTGCTCGGCTCCCAGCCCCGCTCGGCTCCCAAATGGCCGTGGTTCGAGTCCGCTAGCTGCTTTCAAAAATCATTTATTGCTATTTTTTTTAATACCATTCATTGCTATTTCTTTCTCTTTCTTCGATTTCCACAAAGTGGTGAAAGTTGTTTTCTCAAAATCAGCGGATTACGAGCCAGAATTGGCCGAAAGTAGGAACAAAATAATCCGTTTTCCGCAAAAAGCAAAAACTAACAGAAATCTTTGAAATCCATCAATTTTCGTCACAAAATTTATTACAAAATAAGCGTTTTCCCCGGGGGGAATTTGATATTCTTTTCAATCAAAGTTCCCGAACTACAATTCTCCTTGTTAATTGGGCTCCATCAGGTGAACGAAAAAGCGGAAATTTCCGCTTAATTTTTTTGTTTTTACGATTTTGTTTTGCAATTTTCATTAGAAAATCGAAAAAAATCTGTTAAAAAATTGAATTTTGTTTTTTTTTTTCTGTTTGATTTCTCGAAAATTTGTTCCAGAAGCTTCTCTTGCAGACTAACATTCAATTAGCAACAATAAATTAGCAATAAATTAGCAACAAACTAACAACAAACTAACAACTTTCCCCGCCAGCCATCTGGCGCACGTCCAAGAGTCCAAGAAAGGGTTTTGCTTCAAAAGTCGCCTTGCAATTGCGGATCTTTGCGCATTTTTCCCGATCAGCTTTTCATTTTCATTTCCAGCTTCATTTTCATCTCCATCTTCATCTCCATCTTTATCTCCATCTCCATTCTCATTGATTTCCCTTTCCTAACAAAATTAGCTTTGATTTGCATGGAAAAAGCCAGAACTTGAGCTCTCTTTTGCATTAAATTAGCAACAAAAATCATGAATTTTTCTTCAATTCTTCAAAATGCCTCGAAATTTCCTCGAAATTCCCCCTTTCAAAAGCTCTCCTTTCACAAGCTCTCCTTTCACTTTCCCCCTAATCATCACCTATAGAAATTCAGATTTTCATTAAAAATTTCCCACTAAAAGCACAAAAACACCTTTTTCTAGACGAAAAGCTTCGCCTTTCTGCAATTTTCTCATCGAAATTTCTTTGCTTTTTGAAAAATTGAAGAAAAATTTGTGCTTTTTCAAAGTTCTCCTCAAGGAAATTGCTGTTTTTAATGATTTTGAATGGCTTTTAATGGTTTTTAATGGTTTTGAATGGTTTTTTGATGGTTTTTAATGGTTTTGAATGATTTTGAATGATTTTGAACGATTTTTTGATGATTTTTAATGGTTTTTAATGATTTTTAAATGGTTTTTAACGATTTTGAATGGTTTTCCTCGATTTGCCCGCTAAAAATTCGATAATCTCACCTCTTCCCCATTAAAATTCCTCAATTTTCAAACGAAACTATCATTTTCTTTTCATTTCCCAAAAGATTTTACTAATCTTTTCCCCCTTTTTCCCATTGATTCCATCCAAATAATCCTCAAGGAATTCTCTGAAGGGAAATTCGAAAAAATCCTTTTCTGAAAAGATCCTTTTCTATATTTCATTTTATTTGAAAAACAAAAAAAAATTTGTCGAGTGGGGATTAATTTATGCCCGATTTGAAATCAAATGAAACTATTTGGAAAGCCTTTTTTTCAATAGATTTAGAGATTTAAAAAGAAGAAATTTCTACACAAAGAGATCAATTCAATGAAGGGGAAATTCATTTCTTGAAAACATCTCCATTTTACTCATCTTCTTTTGTCAAATTTTCTTGTTTCCATTGATTTTGATTCCATTTACATTCCATTTGTGCGTTCTCTCCCGGCCAGAGTCAACGTAAACGCCGGTCATCTGGCGCACATCCGTTTGTTTTTGTGCGTTCTTTAGTTTCTCGTTAAACACAAGCCACCTGGTGCACTAAGGTTTGTGCGCTCTCTAGGCTCTCACGTAAACGTTAGCCACCCAGTACACCGATCAATGTCTTTTGTGCGTTCTCTAGGCTTTCACGTAAACGCTAGCCACCTGGTACACCGAATAATGTCTTTTTGTGCGTTCTCTAGGCTTTCCCGTAAACGCTAGCCACCTGGTACACCGATTAATGACTTTGGTGCGTTCTCTAGGCTTTCACGTAAACGCTGGCCACCTGGTACACCGAATAATGTCCTTTGTGCGTTCTCATAGGCTTTCACGTAAACGCTAGCCACCTGGTGCACCGAGAAAGCTCAGATGCCATCCGTGCGCTCTCTGGTGCTCCATGTAAACGCAAACGTCTAGCGTCTGGCGCACCAAGGTAACGATTGTTACAGTAACTTTTTAAAGCTTTTAGAATCATTTTTTTGTCTGAACATCTACCACCTGGCACACTCTTTTCAATCAGAATCCATTTCAATCTTTTCCTTTCCCTCATTAAACCCATTCAATTTTTTCCAAAATCCAAATTTTTTCTCATAAATCATTCAAAAATAAATCAAAAGCCTTTTTTTTGCATTTTTTTTGATTTCATGCAGATGTTTTCTTTTCAGTTTTTCAGTTATTTGAAACTTTTCATCAATTTTCAGATATACAACTATTTCTGATCTAAACAATGTCTCCAGCAAGTCCAAATGAAAAAAATGAACAAGAAGTGAATGAGGCAGGAACATCACAAACAGCACCCCCGGATACAGCCAAGATCATTCAGGTTAGCGAATTTGAACAGACTAGTAATCAAGGAGTCAAGGAATTAGCAAAAAAAGATTTCTGGGGGATTGAATCCTCGATCTTTTGCTTGCTTTTCAGGCAATTGCTCTAACCACTTAACTATTCGGTAGCTTAACTCTCAAAGAGAGGGGAAAGACAAGGGGAAGAAGGAAGAAAGGAAGGAAGGAAGGAAGAAAGAAAGAAAGACCAGGGATAAGTACAAGCCAGGGTTGGACCTAGGTCAGGGGCCAGGCCAGTCCTCAATTCATAGTTTAAGTACCAGCCTATCGTTGGGTTTGGAAATTTTGTAGTGCAGGCTATGACCCTGGAGGACGAGTCCTGATGCCTCTAGAGAAGAGGTTCTAGAGAATTTTGTGTTCTATTTACCGTAAATTCCACTAATCTAAAGTCCTTTTTGATAAAAACGATGACGGTAAATGGTATCTGTCGATTTCTAGGCTTTCTCGACGATTTCCACGCCATCCTCCCCTCTTCTCCTCCCTCAATTACAGCCAATCGCTTTGCCCGCTCGCCGACAAACTCTTCGAATGGATGCAAATCAAATTAAGGTATGAATTGTTTAGTATTGGGAAATTGAATTTTTATTTCTATATAAGTTCAAAAATCCCCAGGTGATTCTGGGGGTTATTTGGCAAGAGCAAATGGGAAAGATCATTAGTAAGAGCAAATGGGAAAGATCACTAGCAAGAGTAAATGGGAAAGATCACTAGCAAGAGCAAATGGGAAAGATCACTAGCAAGAGCTTTTTTGGAAATAAACATCAGATATCTATATCAGATTTTAAAGCTGAATCAAATAAACAACTATAGAACTAAATGGAAAACTTGATAATGTAAATAAAGTTCAAAATTTAGATGAGATTTCTGAAGAGACGAGCGCTGAAACCGTACAATCGAACGCCATTACCGTCGATTTCTTGCCTGTTACCGGTTAGGGAAAACTATGTAAGTATTGGAAAAGATTTGAGGTTTATCTAGGCTTTAGAAGCTTTGAATTTCAAGATAGATCAATTATCAATTACATAAATAACAATAAATGAATGATGATTCCAGACTCCACCCCAGGAAACGATTTCCCCGCTCGGCTTGGATGCTTGTGGTTTAGTGCCGCCAGATGCATGGTGTTGCGATGAGTTCTATGATTGGACAGCTGTTTACGTGCCATCTTTCTGCAATTGGCCACAACAGAGTCAAGGTGGGCCAAGTTTATTGCCATTGCCGGCCTCATTGCCGGCTGAACTCGTTTGTTAGAAGGGCTAGTGGGTTGTGTATGCTTATCCCTACTTTATCAAGCTCATCTCTCAATTCCAGAACCCGGATCTCAGCCGTATTGGACTCAATCTCAGCAAATTCCCACTCAACCCACGAATTCACAAATCACAGCTCCAACAAGTTGCTATCATCAATCAAAGAGTCCAAATCAATCAATGACCCTTCATGCAAGTGTCAATTTTGGACAAGCTGTTTGAATACTTTTTATATTATTTCCATAACCTCATTTCCTTTCTTTTCTTTTCTTTTTCTTCACCGGTTCATTTGACTGGATACAGTAATTTGTCTAAGGATTACGGTAGATCGAGCAGCTTTTAGGGGTACTGTAACTGACAATGGGTTTGTAGAATTTCTGTGACTTTAGCTGTGAAGTAAACCAGGTTAGGATTGCTGTATCAGCCGATTTCTATAAGTTGGATAATTGGGAAATAAGAACTGGGGTGTTCGCCAGAAACAATGACTGCAGGCGGGGTCGAAACCGGGATGCTCGGATTGAGAGACAGACACTCTTGCAATCCACCATGAGAACACATTTCCGCGCCCTTTTCTCTCAGGGGGCTGTCTGTGCTACCCTTTATTGAGGATTCTAGGAGACGTGACTGGATTACGGAAGCTAGGTAGCTAGGTAGCTATGGTAGCTAAGGTAGCTAAGCTAGCTAAGGTAGCTAAGGTAGCTAAGCTAGCTATGGTAGCTAAGGTAGCTATAGCTAGCTATGGTAGATATAGTAGCTATGGTAGCTATGGTAGCTAGGTAGCTATAGTAGCTATGGTAGCTATGGTAGCTATGATAGCTATGGTAGCTAAGGTAGCTAAGGTAACCTCTTCAGTTACAGTTATGCAGCTACTAGACTACGGTAGAGAGCGAAAGACTAAAGTATAAGAAGACTTCAGTAATCGAGTCACACAATAGACAAAGGTAACTAGATTACGGTAGAAAGAGAGCACAAATTAGACTACGGAAAACGTAGATTAGCAAGAACGCATTAGCCTAAACTCTCCTTACAGATTACGGTATCCTTGTTGCTATTTAAAAATAGCTTCCCGATTCCTCTGAATCCTTTAAACTACTCGTCCTTCACCTCAACCCAATAAAATCTTTTGCTTCTTTTTGTTAAATCAGTCGATTTCTCTATTTCTTTCTTAAAATAGCTTTCATTTTCCGAATTTTTGACTTTAATTTACTTTAATTTACGATTTTTCAATCAAAATTAGCACTTCTCTTTGCCCATTTCCTTGAAATAGTCTCTCAGCGTTACGGTAAACACAAATCCATTACCAAACGGGTTACGGTAAGACAAAACATTTACACTATTTACTATTTACATTTGTTTATTTTCCTTTAATTCAATATCTTTTAATGTTTTCTTTTTTTTTTTTATTTTTTCTTTTTTTCTTTTTTTCTTTTTTTCTTTCAAAACTTGCCTCTTTTAAAAAATATTATTCGTTTTTTTCTTTTTTGAAACTTTTTTGTTTCTTTTTTTTGTGCTTTTTCTCTTTTTTCCTACTTTTGTTTTGACTTTACGAAAGAGTTTTTTTCGAAGAATAAAATTGGAAACTAAAATTTCATTTCAATTTCATTTTAAAGATACATTGGAATTTCATTACTAAACATTGGAAAAGAATTGAATCAATAGAAAAGACTCTAGCTCTAAGACAGAGCTATAAAAAGACAGAGCTCGAAATCTTTTAATACCTTAGATTTACAGCTTTTAAACTAACCAATCAACAAGATAGACAGAGATTCGGACAACAGTTCAACGATTTTAAATATTAGGTTGATGCAAAAGACCTTTTTCATTTTTTCGTACTTCTTTTGAAAAATAAAAAAGTCATCAATTAACCTATGGTTTACTCTAAATGAAAAGTGTTTATTGTTGAATTTCCCATCTTTTTAAGTCAATTTGGGTTCACTTTCAAGCAAATTCGAGAGTGAAAACGGGTTTTTCATAAAAATCTATAAAAACCTCTATAAAGAAATTGGCTGAATCAATTTCTCTGAAAATCTGAAAAAATATCGAACTTTTTGTGCTCTATCTTTTATTTATTAACATCAAGATTGGTTTCCTTAGCTAAAGCGTCTAAAATGCATCATCGAGCCGTCACCTTTTTTGACTACCCGACTTCAGGCTCTCAAAAAAATCTAGACATAAGACATTTTAAACTCGTTTTAATGTCATTTTGCAGAAAAATAATTGGCCTTTCGAATGCAATAAACCGTTGTTCAATTGGTGCATTTGTTACTTTTTAACGGAAGTACGAAAAAAATGAAAAAGACTTTTGCATCAACCTAATAGTAACATCTTGAGGCAAGCAATTGCTAGACAAAAAAAAGCCATAGCCAACCTTCTGACTAACCCAAGTTTATTGTTTTGATTGATTGAATTGATTGAATTGATTGAATTGATTGAATTGATTGAATTGATTGAATTGATTGATTGAATTGAAAGAATTGAATTACTAAACAAGTCTGATAGAGCTCGAAATCTTTTAATAGCTGACTATGGGTTTGTAGAATTTCTGTGACTTTAGCTGTGGAATAAAGCAGGTTAGGATTGCTGTATCAGCCGATTTCTATAAGTTGGATAGTTGGGAAATAAGAACTGGGGTGTTCGCTAGAAACAATGACTGCAATGAACAGAAACAATGACTGCATTGAAGCTTTTACAGCTTTTAAACTAACCAACCAATAAGATAGACAGAGATTCAGACAACAGTTCAACGATTTTAATAGTAACATCTTGAGGCAAGCAATTGCTAGACAGAAAGCCAGCCTTCTGAATAATCAGCCAGCCTTCTAAATAATCAGCCAGCCTTCTGAATGGTCAGCCAGCCTTCTAAATAACCAGCCTGCCTTCTAAATAATCAGCCAGCCTTCTGACTAACCCAAGTTTATTGTTTTATTGAGAATTTTTTGATCTTCGATCAAAGACCAAAGAGATTTTGAAATGAGAAATCACTTGGGTCAAAGATTTTCTAACGAATAAACAGTCATAATAAACAATTACAGATTTTCTAACGAATAAACACATTCAAACAGTCAAAGGTTTTCAAAAGGATTCAAGCGAACTCGAGTAACTGCCTTGGAATTAATAGTCCAAGAGACTCTGAAACATCATAACACTAGCGATGGTGAACATAAACGGCTAGAGCTTTCAAGTGATCCGTAGTAGAAACAGAATTGGGTTTTCTACTCAACTCAAAGTAACTGCCTTGGATTTCCGTAAAATAGAAATGAATGGCAAAGACGGGAATTGAACCCTTGACCTTCTCCTTACCAATCAGCTAAGCTATCTTTTAACACTGAGCTATTTGCGCCTTCTTTCCCCAAGAAATAAGAAAGACAAGGAAGAAGAAAGGAAGAAAGGAAGAAAGAAAGAAAGGAAGAAAGGAGGAAAGAAGGGAAAAGTTTCAATCTTATAGCGTAAGATAAAGATAAGTTATAACTTTTAAAGTTATGTGAGAAGATTTAGGATTACGGTACCTATTAGTAGAGGTGAATTCTCGTGAAAAATGAAAGAATGATATCAATTTCAGAACTTGACAAACCTGGTGTGTAGACAGCTTGTCCCTGGGCGACTTGTCGGGCAAATTCCTCGCGAAAATCACTTCTCGAATAGCGATCATTGCCTTAAATTTGAGAACTATATTGCTAAGGATTAAATTGAACTTTTTCTCACCTGGATTCTCAGTGAGACGTTGCGTTGGAAAGCCAAACTCGGCATGCATCATGCTTGCATCTGAAATTGCTAAGGTACCTAATAGCTAATTGCCAGAAAAAAAATATTTCTTTTGAAGAAGAATAACTAGTTCATTGATTCAAATGTTAAAGTTGAATTTGTAAATTTTTTTGATTGATTTACTTGGCACTGCCGAGCAAGCCGTATTCCAAACGAGAGAATCGGGTCGGAGAGGTCGCCGCCTCGGATATTGGCTTTGTGTTGGACAGCAGCCGACTCCTAAAGAAGTTTTGAATGAATCACTAAATTGATTTAAGCGATGGAGATAGAGCTTATCTCCATAGCTTATCTCCAAATCAATATTCAAGATGCAAATCAAGAGCCTTTAAAGCCTTGAAGCCTTTAAAGCCTTTAAACTCAAAGCCTTTAAAGCCTTGAAGCCTTTAAAGCCTTTAAACTCAAAGCCTTTAGCCTTGAAGCCTTTAAAGCCTTTAAACTCAAAGCCTTTAAGCCCTGCCTTTAGCCTTTAACCAAAGCCTTAAAGCCTTTAAACTCAAAGCCTTTAAAGCCTTTAAACTCAAAACCTAGATCGATTTCTCAGACTTTATTCGATACAAACTTGAGCCTCAACTTCAATTCTTAACTTTCAAGGCTAAAAGAGTCTAGAGTCAATTGTAGAGTTGATTTCTAAGCCTAAGCAGATTTCTAAATTACTTCCTAAACATTAGTTTCCAATAAAAATCACTTTTTCATGACTTACCTCTAATAGCAAACTGTAAAAAGCAGACTAAGATAAAGATGAAAATGCAAAGTGGAGTGAAATAGGCAAAGATCTCCAATTCTGGCATTGATCTGGACAGGATTGGCTGATTTGACTGGATTGACTGATCTGGACAGGGTTGGCTGATTGGAAATGTGTTGATTGACAGTTTTGGAAGGGTTTCATACAGAAGAATTCACTTTTCACCTATCGATGAGGAATTATGCAAATGTTTTGACGTTTCGGTGGGCATAGAGAGCACAGAGGAATCACGGAGATCACCCAAAAATGAAGAGAACTTTGTGTTCACAATGCGTCGTAGACAGACTAATGTACTTTCTAAAATGTGTCCTGTCCGTGTCCTAAAACTAAAAGCTACCGTAACCCTGTCTCTTCTTCTGTTATCCCATCTTCTACCGTAAGAAAAAGCTACCGTAACCCTGTCTCTTCTACTGTTATCCCATCTTCTACCGTAAGCAAAAGCTAGCGTAATCTTGGCCCTCTTAAGTAATCACAGACTACTGCAATCTTGACTTTCTACTACTGTAATCTGGCAAGAACTATCGTAGTCCGTCCGTCAGTCCGTCAAAGCTACGGTACTCTTACCTCTTCTACCGTAATCTCTCCTTCTACCGTAGCCATTTGTCTTCTATCATAAGCCTTAGAAGTCTTAGCTAGAAAGTGAGTTTTTATCGCAAAACTTGCATTCAGAACATTGGATCAAAAGTTTATTATTGCAAGAAACAAAATAAAAACCCGTAACGAGATCAAAATGTTTGAAAGAACTAAAACCTGATCGAAATATTACATCACAAAAATTAAGTCATTTGGATAAAGGTTAACGGCTTATCCCTTGAGGAAATTGCTGAAGAATCCCTGTGCAACCTCTCCGGTCATCAATTGGGAAACTTGAGAGATCACTGCCATCGGGTTCTGCAAAGAAATGAATACTGTAAAGTAAGAATAATGGAAAGAAATGCTTTCCTGTTTTTACTGTCAGCTGCGCGTCTGCGTACCTTTCGTGTCGTAAGAAAAAGCAGCATCTGGCACAGTGCCCCGACTGTAGATCCCCAGAAATCCCTCCCCACCGGTTTGATTACCCAAGTCTTGTGCGTACCCTCGGTGCCCCTAGTAGGAAAAAGTGGCATCTGGCACAGTGCCCAGACTGTAGACCCTCAGAAAGCCCTCCCCACCGGTTTAATTACCCAAGTTTTGTGCGTACCCTCGGTGCCGCTCTTAGAAAAAAGACACGGTCCCAGATGCGGGATCCGTTTGACTTGGGTAATTAAACCGACTCAAAAAACAGTTTGACTGGGAAAACTAGAGTTTTTGAACTAGATTATTGGAACGACCATTAAGCCATTAGGCGGGTTTATCAGCTGGATGTTTGGGAGTCGACGTTTCGTGGCTATGGCGCAGTCGGGAGCGCGCTTGTCGCTTGCCCTCACGAGCAAGTTTCGACCCCCCGAAGCGCGCCTCAGTTTTGACTTTTTAAAATTTTGATTTTAAATGGCATAACTATATTATATTCTAAGGTTTTCTAAAGAAGTTATAGCTTAATTGGTCAAAAAACGGCCGAGATGCTCGTACGAATGGCGAACGAACGGACAGATAGATTGTAGACAATAATTATTCTCTTACTTGATCGATGATTCCCGTCACTTCATCACATCGTTTCACCTCTCGTTGCAGTTGAGAACCGATCTGAATACGATTTTTGAGTCTATATAGAGAGAAAGTAATCGAAAAACTTTGTTATTGATTATTTTATTGTTATCATGGCATGAAACCGACTTTCAATGATTCCATGATATCACAATTAGAGATCGCTTCTCGTAGAGCTCCACACTGTTGTCGTTCAACCGTTCGTTTACAGGTTTCCTTGCTGAATTGAAAGATTACCAGAGAAATTATCAAAATCAGATCAAAAGCAGATCAAAATCAGATCCAAATCAGATCCAAATCAGATCAAAATCTCGAACGTAACCTAGGAGGATTGTCATTTTATCGTCAATTTCAAACCTTGCTCTCAGCAAATCCATTCTTCCATCGAGAATCGCGTTTTTAATTTCATTTCCCCACGTGTCGAAGGCTTTTTGATCGGCTTCGCGTTGACAATTTCCGTAGACGAGCTGCATGGCTTCTGACAGAAATGGGAGACAACCTGGAAAAAGAATTCGAGTTGATTCAATGAAAATCGGTGAATCGATGGTGAATCATTTGGTTGAATGATTCACCATCGTTGACAATTTCGTTGATTCACCATCGTTTACAAGAAATTGTATTTAGAAATTGGCCTTCACCTTCACCCCTTTGCAATCCAAAATTGTTGCCAGCTCCTGGGAGAAAATCTTTGATTGATGGAAGGGAATAACGGGATTCCCCGCCTCTTGCACCAGTTGCAGCCGATGTCGAGGAGTCTCGAGCTGCTGATCGTGCTCCGCCCATAAATGCTTCAGCAACTGAAAGATTTCCTTAAAGATATGATCGATTCGGTTACAGTTTGCTGGCCAACTGTAGACTCAGAAATCTAGCGATTAATTTAATTACAGTCTACTGTAGGCTGACAAATCTACAGTGGACTGACTGTATGATAAACTAGACGTAAACTAGACTTAAGTGAAGCTAGACATAAGTCTAGTTGCATCTTACTGTAGACATCTTACTGTAGACATCTTACTGTAGACATCTTACTGTAGACATCTTACTGTAGACATCTTACTGTAGACATCTTACTGTAGACATCTTACTGTAGACATCTTACCGTAGACATCTTACTGTAGACATCTTACTGTAGACATCTTACTGTAGACATCTTACTGTAGACATCTTACTGTAGGCATCTTACTGTAGACTGATCTTGCTATAGACTCATAGTCTACAATAAGTCAGCTTGCAAAACACTTTGAATTTAAGAAAGCTGAAGAAAGCTATAGTGGTGAGTTCAGAGTTGGATTTGATATTTGATATTTGATGTTGTCAAAGTTGTCAGAGTTGTCAGAGAGTGAAAAGTTGTCAAATGATGAGGATTCCAAATTAATTTAGGTTTCCGCAAATCCTCACCACTTCTCAATCCTTCAATTGCCTTCTGTTGCACGTGTGGATTTGGATTTTCCGTCAACGTGGGCACTCCCTCAGATCTCGGTGTTTCGATCAGTGGAGCCGCTAATTTACTTTCCGAATTCCCACTCCCGAGAAAAGCTTGAGCCAAACGAGCAACTGGAAATTGGGAGATTTTCGATTCATCTCTACAATTGATCTTTACAATTGATCTCTACAATTAATCTTTACAATCACTCTCTACAATCCAATACAAATTTCAATTGTACTTTCAATTGTACTTTCATTTGTACTTTCATTTGTGCTTTGTTTATTTGTACCCACTTGCTTGCATATTCGCCGAACCAGGGCTCACTTGTGGCGTTTCGCTGATTGGTGTTCCCAATGCTCTTGCACCACTATTGATTAAGCCGATTTTTGGATTTGATGGAGCTGAGAATGAGGTCGGTGGTGAGAGATTCAAGGGTTCAGTGGCTGTAGCTGAAGTTTCGGAATATGATGGTTGAGCTGGAGACGAGCCGCCCATAAACGCTTGTGCCAGCCGAGCCACTAGAATTTTGGTTTTTTAGCCATCGATTTTAGACAGAGCTTACTGTTGACAGTCAAAAGCTTACTGTTGTTGAAATCGAGCACCCCAAGCTCTTTCTGTGTCCCAGTCGTCGGCGCACTTCGGGCGATTCCGCTTGTCTCGAATGTGTTCACTCCTTGAGCATACGATGGAGAGTTTCCGCTTGATGGACTTCCCATAAAAGCTCGAGCAACTGAATAAAATAGTTGAAGAGTTACGGTAAAAATTCGCAAAAACCAGCTTGCAATCCACTCATATCCGGCTGTACAACGGGCTCGGGTCTTGGCGGAGATTTGAATGTCGGCCGTAACTCAACACCGGAATCCGAATTGTCTGTGGCCGAGCCGGTAGCGCCTGAAGCTCGGGTTACTGTAGTGTACTTTGTGCTGTAAACCACAGCCTATCTGGCGCACTCACTTCGTTCATTTTTCTTCAAAACAATACTGATAAGATTAAGTGGGCAAGGTGTCATCAGCCATCTACTAAACGACGCAGAATTCTGCGCTGACTCCGAATCTGCTTTCCGTTTCTGCTATGGAGCACTCTGTCAAAGTTAGTTTTGTTTTGTTTTGTCAAGCAAAGTTTTGTCTGGATTTTAAAACTCAAGAGATGAGTCAAGCTAGTCGCCCCTTACAATGGAAGTCAAGCAACTCTTAGAATGGGAGTCAAGCTCGTTATCACGCCGTTACGCTCGCCGGATGTCAGATTTCTCATGGTCATTAAGAAGAATTGGTAGTCGGCTAGAATACGAGGCGAAACAAAATTCTGCATTTCATTTAACCACCTTGCCCACTTGGCCTTCCCCTTTTGAATTCAGTGTGCCAGAAAGGGTGAGTTTCTAATTTGAAGTATTCCTCGCCTCTCAAGAAACTCTGGGCTAATCTCAAGAATGGATTCTGTTCAATGATTGCTGTTTCGGGTTGTGAATCGATTGATGGAGCTTCGGCTGGTGGAATTGTCGTTGTTGTTGTCGTTCTCATCGCCATCCTTTGCAACAATGTCGCTTGGGCTCGGGGTTTTCGATTTTTGCCCTAAAGAATTCTAAGGATTTCTTGCAATTTGCATAATTGTACAAAATTCTACTGTAAAAAGCTAGAACTAACCCATTGCTGTGGCTTTGGTTTTGGTTTTGGTTTCGGTTTTGGCATGATTTCTTGACTTTCATCATATTCCTCATAACTGTAATCACTCGAATAGGAGGAGGACTTCGAGAAATCTTCCGGTTCATACTCGTTTATGAAACGGGGTTTCTGAAAAGAAAGAAAATGAAAATGGATTGAATTTTCGGATTAAAATGAAAGATCAGATCAAAATGAAAGATCAGATCAGAAGAGACCTTCAGAATTTTGATTTTCTTCTTTCCAGCATTTTTCGGGTTTCGTTTCGCAGGTTTCTTCGGGGATTTCTGGAGAAAATTCAATTTAAACTATTAATATTATAGCTTAAAATTAAACTAAAGATTAAAATTAAACGAAATCACCGGTGTAAACGGATTGGGAAACGGAGAAAATGTTGGAAAAGTGAAGGATCTAGTTGTTGTGGTTGTTGTTGTGGTGGTCGTTGTCGTTGAAGTGACAATTGGCTGCCCGCTCAATGCATTTAAAATGCCCTGCCTGAAATTTGGAAATGTTTATATATATAGTTTACACAAAAACCTTGCTGGTAGCATAAGATTTTGAAATCCTTGCGCGAAAAGTTCGGATGGAGGAGCGTTCAGGTTCACGGCTTCTTGGGAGGATCGGGCTCGTTGTCTAAAAGATTGCAGAGATCTTCTGTTGAATCTTTTGATCAAAAAACATTAGCTCAATTCATACAAAGATTGGCAAAATGGATTGCATTGATTAAATTTGGTTATAGAAAAGTACAATTTAGACTTATAGACTCATGTGTAAGAACATGTGTCTTGGAGTTTGGGAACTTTTCTATTTTACTCTATAACTCGACTCCCAGTAATCATATCGACTTGAGGTTGGTTTTAAAATGAGCCTCATTAAATTTGGTTCTAGAAAAGTAAAATTTGTTTTGTATACTCATGTATAAGAAAATAGAGAAAATTTGTGTCAAAGTCGAACTACCTACTTGGAAAAGTTGATCAACTTAGATGGTCTATAACTCGAGATGTAGAAGCTCAAGTTGCTGTTAGTAGTGTTAGTAGAGTGCTGTTAGTAGTGTTAGTAGAGTGCTGTTAGTAGTGTTAGTAGAGTGCTGTTAGTAGGGTTAGTAGAGTGCTGTTAGTAGTGTTAGTAGAGTGCTGTTAGTAGTGTTAGTAGAGTGCTGTTAGTAGTGTTAGTAGAGTGCTGTTAGTAGTGTTAGTAGAGTGCTGTTAGTAGTGTTAGTAGAGTGCTGTTAGTAGTGTACTAGTAGAGTGCTGTTAGTAGTGTACTAGTAGAGTAGTAATGTTAGTAGAGTAGTACTGTTAGTAGAGTAGTACCAGCAATGTTTTGTACTATGTACTATGTACTAAAACAGCTTTTCTGATACTTGAGCAACATTTTACACTATACTAAACAAATATGATTTGCGAATTGTTTACTTACAAAGAATCTCTTTCATTTGCGACGACTCCTCCAGCAGCAGCTCTTGTCAAATCCTGTGCCAATTGAACCATTCTTCCCATTTTATCCGGATCGAGAAATGACATGAAATTAAGCTAAAATTAAGCTAAAATTAAGCTAATTTAAACCCTTATAAACAAGTATTTCATAGTATTTCATAGTATTTCATTTTTCCAGTTTCTCTTTTCATTTTTGGGTTACTAGGTTACTCTTAGAGGTTTCAAAGGATCAAAGGATTTTCCTTGATCCAAGAATATCACAATATCTCCATTTTTTCTCTTTTAACTCAAAAATCTGGCTTTTCCATTGTGCCCTTAAACCGTAAAGAAAAGAAAAACTGAACCAAATCGAATGGATGAATGTGTTTTGGGGGGAAAAGGAGGAGAACTGGTTGACTTGGGTTTGACAGATCAATGGTTGACAGAGAGAAAAGGAAGAGAAGATAAAGGAAAAGAAAAAAGGAAAGCATTTCATCTTTCTGTCTACCAGAATATCAAGTTTCGAATGGATAAATGGGCAAATTTTTGAGTTTTTTTGAGTAAAATGCTTAAAATAGATTTGAATTTGAGAAAGAAAGCCTGGAAATCAGTGGCTTTAATCTTGTTCTTTTTCCCAAAATCGAAACCTACCCTTTCTGGTGCACTGAATTCTTTATTTTTCTCGCGCCACAAGAGAAAATAAAGAATTCAGTGTACTAGAAAGAGTAGGTTCGTCTTTGAGCACAAAGTATCACACAAGATAAGCTCTAAACTGTGGATTGCTTTTGAAAGCTACCGTCAAGTACTGTAGTAACTTCTGATTATAAAAAGGAGCACGATAACTTGGGACTACGGTACTTGGAACTACAATACTTTGGTATAAACCTATTCTTTCTGGCATACTCGAAACGAACCAGTGCCTACAAAAAGGATCACGATAACGCAACTTGGGACTACGGTACTTTGGTGTAAACCTATTCTTTCTGGCATACTCAAAACGAACCGCCTACCAACAGGATCACGATAACGCAACTGGGACTACGGTACTTTGGTATAAACCTATTCTTTCTGGCATACTCGAAACGAACCAGTGCCTACAAAAAGGATTACGATAACGCAACTTGGGATTACGGTACTTTGTATAAACCTAGTCTTTCTGGCATACTCGAAGCGAACCTGTGCCTCACATTTCAGCGTCCAAATAGCGATGAGAAAAAGAAGAAAATGCATGTAAAATTAGTGAATATTTGTCGAAAAATCGTTTCCGTTAAATCGTCAACTGAATGACTGAATATCGAAAGTAACTTTAAAAAAGAAAATAAAGAAAATAAAGAAAATATAAAGAAATCAAAGAGATGACTCAATGAAAGAAAGAAAAGAAAAGAAAAGAAACGAAAAAAGGAATGAACGAGACACGTCAAATCGAGGAGAATTTCAGTTTTCTCCTCAGTCAATTCATATAAATGGCAAAGAGATTTTAGATTGCTTTCGCAAAAGAATGGCATTAGGAAAGAATTAGGAAAGAATTGGGAAAGAATAGAGATGAAATAGGGAACGAAAATTGATGATGCGTGGATTTGGGAAATGAAAACAAAAGCAAAATGTTTTACTCAGCTGATCGTGAGTAAAACGATGCCGTCCTCGCCCCCCCTCCCCCCTCCCCCCCCCCCCCCTCCTCCCCCCCGCCCCCGCCGACTCCTCTGCTTCCCTTGCCGTTCCTCTGGTCTCTGCAATGCCGATTCCTCTGCGTTTTCTAAAAAGTGGATTGGTTCTGAAAGCTACCGTACTCAAAGTTGCCAGTTCGATCAGCTTGGACAAATTCAATGAGGGGAATCACAAAGCTCACTCAATATGTATATGTATATTTATTCGACACGAATAATGGAATTACAACACAACGGGGAGTTTTAGAAAATATTTGCATCTTAGTTTGCTGTGATTGCTCTATTTTGTGAATAATTTTAGAAAAATTTTAGAAAAATCGGATAAAAAGTCAGTCTGAATACAGGAATTTCTCGGAAATGGTAGGCGAGCATTGGAAAGAGAAAAAGGGAAAAGGGAAAAAGGGAAAAAGGGAAAAAAGGACGATCAAGCACAACCTCTGAGAAGAAAAAGACGAAACTGGATTCCTATTTTGGAAGAAAAAAAAAGAGAAAAGATTGGGAAGAGATCCGAATGGCATGTAAAGAATTGAATGGATGAGGGAAAAGTCGTGGATTTGGCATGGAAAAATGCAGAGAAATGGGTTTAGAGGAAAGGATGGCAACTCTGAAAGGCTAAAAGAAAAGAGCTGAAAGAGAAGAGCTAAAAGAAAAGCCCGAATTTGGGTCATCAATTTATTTGTTCGATTTGTTCGATTTGTCAATTTGCAGCTATCGATTTGTCAGTTATCAGTTTTGCCAGCTTTACCAGCTTTGCCAGCTTTGCCAGCTTTGCCAGCTTTTACAAGAACATCTGTACAACTTTCAAAGCTTTTCCTACCAATCACTACCTTTTCAGGTCATCGTAAGCTGATTTTGAACCAAAAATCGTTCTAAAAAAACGCATTGACTCCTTTCCAGAGTGTTTTCTTAACGTTTTCTTAACGTTTTCTTTATTTTCCTTATGTGTATCGCAAATAAAGAGAGCTATGCCATAGATGGAAAAGGGAAAATCCCCCTGAAGGACTCCCGAAATCCAGATATCCCCCACATCCACAAAATAACCATCACGTGAAAAGGGAAAGTGTGAAATGAGAGGGAAAACTCCAGAAATTGTAGAACAAATATTGGATATTGGATATTTCGATGAATAGAGAAAAAGATGCCGTTTTTTCTAAGAAAGACAGCAATCATACAGGTGGATTCAGATTCTCATTCAGAAAACTTCGATCGCCACTTCGTCACCCTAAACTTAACTTTTGTCAATAAACACTATGCTTACCTGGTAGCATTTTTCAAGGCGCATCTTTTGACATAAAAAAGAGCTCGATCCGTCAAAGTATGGTTGTGAAAAGGCCGAAAAACTAAAACGCTTAATGGGCGAGGGAGGTTCTTTGTGCACGCACACAATCGCGCACTTTCTGGCAGAGGGCCTTTATACATAGAGGCCCCTTTCGTGTCTCCTTGCCTTTGTGTTCACTCGCACATCGGTCCGCCTGGTTTGAAGAGTATAAATGATTTTTGGAGACAGGGTTTGTAGAAGCTTGCTTCTCTCGCTTGGTCGATGCCTAACCCAGTGGTGGAAGGCGCGCCGGAGCCATGGGCTGGCCCGGGTCGATTGTACGAATAAGCCCCGAGCAGCATAAAACCGAAAGGTCTCGACCGGAAGGATGTTGTGGAAAGACCCACAGTCTCCCGTGAGGGATACCGCTGAAGTTCGTGGAATCGCTACTATTTCGCACTGCCACCCGTGGAGGGAGGCAGAATGGTCTGTTGCTCGTAACCGGATTACAATTATGCTCCCTTTGGGCTCCGGCTTCCGTCAGCTGTCCGCTACTCGACAGTCGTCTAGATGGCGGAAGTTTGGACATCCCATTGGAGGAACCGATGGGGTTCTTAAACCGACTGGGGTCGATCAATCCCTTTGCAACAAAGTGTCTTCGGGCATTCCCCCTTCGTTGCGCGCCCTTAGCAAGCTGGCTTCTTGCTGCGGGCGGCGCCTCGCCAGGACCGACGTGCCTCGGTCCCAAGGCTTCGGACACGGGTGGCGGGGCGGTCCAGCCACCTCCACGTGGTGCACTCTGGGCACTTCCTGGAAACGGGAAGTGGCGAAGAGCTGGACAGAAGGGAAGAACTTCTGAAAAAGTTCAAAAATTTTGAAAAAGGTTTGTCTTTCTCTTTGAAGCCTTTGAAAAAGCTTCCAAAAAACCTTTTTTTGTCTTTGAAACCGTTCCCAAACGAGAATTTGAGAGAAAAATTTGTGTTTCGGGGTCGATATTTTGTAATTTTCGTAATTTCAAGTTTCTTTTGTCCCAAAACCCGATAAATTATTGACAAACCCATTTACTTTGATCATTTTTATACGATGGACATTTTGTTTTGATGCAAAGATTTTGATTGTGATTGTAAAGATGATGTCATCATAATGAAAGTCTGAAGTTTCATTGGAAAGTTTCCTTCAAAATATGACATCACAATTGTGGACTGCTCATTTTTCAACTGCTCATTTGTCATCCTTTTCACTTTCAAATCTCAGATCGAATGGCACAGCAAATTTCCCTTTTCAAATGACTCATTTGACCTTTGGCGGTGAAAATCGAAACTCTCTTTTTCTCAAGAAAATGATTGCCTAAAGGGCGATTGAGGGAATTTTGTGAGCGGAAATTTTGTCAAAACTTTAAATGAACTCTTATGTTTTCTCTGAAATTGAATAATCTTCCTTTTCAGCTTTTCCTTTTTAGATACTCATCTAGAGTTTGAGTTTGACTTCAAAAGTTTCCTTCAAAAGTTTCCTTCAAAAGTTTCCTTCAAAAGTTTCCTTCAAAGGTTTCCTTCAAAGGTTTCCTTCAAAATCTTGAAAATCTTGAAAATCTTGAAAATTAAACTTTATTTGAGGGGGGAAATTCGAGTTTTCAACCAAATACAACAAAAAAATCGAGAATTATTGTGACTGAAAGGGATCGCGGTGTTAAAATACATTTCTCGTAGCTGGAATTTAGGTTAATTGATGGTTGAAGGGAAGTTGAAGGAAAGAAAAACTCTTTTTCTTTTTAAATCTCTTTTGAAAAGTCGAAGACCTTTTGTTTTTCTTTAGATTTATTTGAAAAATTGATTTATTTGAGCAATTCACCAAAATGAGCTTGGAAGAAATGAATTTGAATTGGAAAAGAGAGAATATCAAGCTAGAATATTAGCTAGAATATTAAGCTAGAATATCAAGCTAGATTATTAGCTAGAATATTAGCTAGAGTATCAAGCTAGAATATCAAGCTAGAGTATCAAGCTAGAGTATCAAGCTAGAATATCAAGCTAGAATATTAGCTAGAATATTAGAATATCTAGCTAGAATACCAAGCTAGAATATTAGCTAGAATATCAAGCTAGAATATTAGCTAGAATATTAGAATCTTTTTCTGAGAAACGATCAGATTTCTTAAATTCTTACATTTTTAATCATAAATATGGAAATTTCTGAAAATGAATGAAGCGTTTTGAAAAGAAAAGAGAAGAAAAAGCTCAGAGTTTCGAAAAGAAAAGAAAAAGCTCGGATGCAAAATTTCAACTAATAATTCTCAAGGTTAATGCAAATTTTAGCTAATTAGAAGCTAGCTACAATAAATAAAGAATAGCACCCGTTTTCAGAGACGATCTTCAACGAATTCTATGTACACAACGTACTTTGTCCTTTCACATGTAAGCACACCACTTTCTAACGTTTCCGCTGAAAAAAATAAACGTTCTGTGCACCAGAGGGGACGTGTTTTCTTGTTCAAGCACAAAGTACGCTTTAAAGGATCGAGCTTGTAAGGATCGAGCTTGTCAGGATCGAGCTTGTAGAGGATCGAGCTTATAAAGGATCGAGCTTTAAAGGATCGAGCTTTTAAGGATCGAGCTTGTAAGGATCGAGCTTGCCAGGATCGAGCTTGTAGGATCAAGCTTGTAAAATAAATAAAAATATGATGTTATAACGGTACGGAAAGGCGCGTTCGAGCGGAAATGCTATGATGAGAGGCTTTGCTTCGAATTGAGCCGGCAATCGAATTCGGTCGACTCCCATCATCGCGTTCACTTCGATGCGATCGGGCTGAGTGTTTCGAGGATTTTGACGAACGATCGGATCTGAATTGGGAATTGTTTGTTTGTTCAGGTTTGTTTAGGAAAAGTAGGAAATTTTCAAGTTTAACTAGCCGCTTTCAGTTTTCTTTTATTCCAAGAGGAGCCTTCGTAAAGTTTTCTAAAAGATGCGGTTTAGAAAAGCTACCGTAATCTCTACAGTTATTGGAGTCCTATAAAAAGCTGTCTAATCCTAAACTACCGTAGCCCTAAGCTACCGTACTCCTATAGAAAGCTGCTCAATCCTAAACTACCGTAATCCCTATATCTATCGGAATCCTAAGCCACGGTAATCCCGCAGCAATTAAACACCTTTAAAACCCTTGTTCAAAGTCTTGTGGCACTCCAAAATCTCGTAGTTTTCTAAAAGATTGACTCCAGAACATGGCCAATTGGTTTATGGTAAGGTAAGCGCAATCCACGCCACCTTAACCCATTAAACAAAAAGCGATTAACTCTAAAGTTCGCGCATTACAGGATTACAGGAGTTTAAGCATTACATTAGCATGTCTGGGACATTCCAAAGTCCCAGACAACACTCTATCCAGCCTGAGCCTTACAAATCCCAGTGAATAGAAGACGTATCTTTTTGCAGAAGTTTTCCTATTCTATTCTTGTGTTCATCAATAAATGATTCGAACCTATTCTCTATTGAAACTTGATGTGGAAGGCTCATTCTCTTCATGCTTGCTCGCTCTTCAACAATCCAGTACATAAAATCCGCGTGCAATCGGCGAACATCAAAGAAACCAGCTGAAAGATTTGTTTTACCAATTAAGAAATACTTTTGATGAGAACTTGACTATCACCTTCTTTTTCTTTAAGTGTTCTTTGAGCTCTAACAAGCTCCAGGAGCTCCTGGAGTCTCCTGGAGCTCCTGGAGCCTCCTGGAGCTCCTGGAACCTCCTGGAGCACTCTCTTGGCGTCTCCTGGGGCACTCAAGCAAGTTTTAAGCAAGAAAATCAAGACACCAGGAAGTGTTCGTTTGCTTGAGGTTCAAAGGACAAACGAAAATCAGTATGATTCAGTAATTGATAGCTGAATGAGTTTCTAATTGATCCATTTGGTCCATTTTTGACCAATTGTACCCCCCTTGAAACCCTTCAAATTTATGAATTCGCTTGTCATCGATCCTTCTACTCAACAAAAATCTCCCATATATGTACAGGATGCGCCAAAAGTTCGCCGTACTTGTATTTTCTGCATTTTTCGTAATTTTAGATAAAAGATACGATTTTTAAAAGTAAGAAATTCGAATTCCTCGCAAAAAACTGATTTAGAAAACGTTTCTGGTTAATTTATAAGTGCATCACTATAAAAATTGAGAAGAGATTGAGAAGAGTGATTGAGAAGAGCTCAGGCGCCGCTCAGACGCTACATAGGCTCATCCAGCTATCTCAGCTATCAAACTCTCAAAGTTTTCTAGTTTTATTGACTCTAGCTTGGTTTTAGATTGGTTCTAGCTTGACTCTAGATTGGTTCTAGCTTGGTTTTCGATCTTTTAACAGTCTTCTGGATTACTTACCCATTGTTATGCTAAACCAAACAAAGTAGGCAATAAGGAAAGCGGCTCCGATGTACGCGTTCTTCTCGTGTTGCTCTTTTCTCTGAAAAACAACAAATTTTGTCGTTTTCCAAGAAGAAAAAATATTTACCTGGTGATTTTTATTTGTATGTAGATAAAGGCTTAATGAAACGAATCCAAAAAGGATACATGTAGAAATGGCTGCATCGATGAGAAGAGGACGGACAAAAGCGGGACGACAAGAATAGATTCCATAAAGAGAAAGGCTTGTGATGATTAGATGGAGAAGAACCGAGATCACAACTGAAATCGATTGCTTTTCTTTTAGTTATTTTCAGCTACAAGATTTTTAGCTACAAGATTTGTTGAGTGTAGTCTGAGGAGAAGAAATTGGATTAAATGATACAACTGATATTCGATTTTTCGGTACTTTTCCAATATCGGGGGAGCGAAAGGAAAATCGGGGGAGCAAACTTTGGCAGCGCTACATATGTCCTATATTATACAAACTACCGCCATACCGCCGCCGTTATTCTCACAGCCTTTATATTAGATCACAAAAGTGACTTAAATATCTAAACACCCAGCGAAATGGATCTTTTCCCTTTGAGTGGACTTTCATCGATTCGCCACAGTTACAAATCCATGACTGGATGACTCCTTTGGTGACGAAATAATCGATTGTCGTCGATTCCTTGAAGGCACAAATGTCGGAGAACCGCAACGTTAAAAAACGTTGCAGTTAAAATACAGTCCCGGAAATGCATTTTTCGAGGGGGCAAAATTTGCTCCCCCGATTTTCCTTTCGCTCCCCGATAATCCTTCCGCTCCCCGATATTGGAAAAGTACCGATTTTTCTTATTGTAACATCTAAATACTGGTTGTTCAATTCTAAAGCTATAATATCCAATAAACTACAGCTTTAGCTGCTATTAGGCTTTCTTCAAAGGCTTTTTCTTTTGCTTTTCGTTTCTTTATCCAAAGAAATCTTTCTTTATCTTTCTTTGAGATGAAAGATAACAATGAAAAATGATTAGTTTACATACAATTACTAAAGTTACGGTAACTAATGAATCTGAATAATGATCAGATCAGATCCATAGCTACCGTAACTTTAGTAATTGTATTACTATTAGCTACCGTAACTTTAGTAATTGACTAACCATTAACATACAACTTTGAATCAAATCTTTTGTAAACCCCTTTGTAAACCCCTTTGTAAACCCCTTTGTAAACCCCTTTGTAAACCCCTTTGTAAACCCCTTTGTAAACAAAATAAACCCAATCTTCTTTCCGACCTTTTAAGACTTTTAAGATTTCAATTTCACAATGACTTTCTCAAAGATTTAGAGATATAATCTTTCTGAGAAGCCACAAAAGGGGAAGCATTTCACACAAAAAAAACCTCTGAGATTGGCGATAGGTTTATTAGAAAATGGTGACAGATTAGAGGATTAGTTGATGGGAAAGCCTATGAAAAGAAATTGGAAAGAGAAAGGTTATTGGGGAAAGGAGATGATTTTCAGGGAGGGAAAGGCAGGGATTTGTGTCGTCAATGGGTTCATTCAGATTCCGAGTACGCCATTTGGAAAGACACGGAACTTGGACTTGCGATCAGTTGAGAGGTGGACACAATCCGGCTAGATCCCTAGCTGAAGATTTAAGCAATTGAGAGACTTGTGGGTTGATCTAAGGATTTATTCAGCTTTGAGTTTTGAATCAAATGAGTAGATTGATGATTGAGCTAAGTAAGACAGTGAGGGAAAGATTTGGAGACAGGGATCTAAAGTATTGTAGCTTAAAATCGGTTTGAGAACTATATCTAGGCTGGATACTGATTAGTACTTTTTGTACAAATTACAGCTTAATAAAAACACAAATCTTGTTTACTTCTAAAAGTTCTGTAATGTCAAACAAAAATGGATAATCTGGCTTGGGAATAACAAGCCAAATTGGCTTCAATTGGGTACCAGCCAAAAAAAAACCCGCCAAACAGCCTAAGAGCTAGTTTTTCTGGCCAAATTTCTGTTGTCGTCGTGGCGCAGATGGGACAAGATGTCAACAAAATGGTACGGCTTGGTAACAAGCCAAACGCCTGGCCATGGCCAGCCAAAACCCGCCAAACAGGGTAGGCCGGTTTTCTGGCTGCTTTCTGTTGTCGTTGCTTGGGACGCGGTTGGCTGCAGATCAAAAGGGTTCGGATCCCGCTGGGTTCGACCCCCGCTAGCGCCACTCGGTTGTGGTCTTTCCAATTTTGATTTTAAATGGCACAACTATATTATATTTTATTTTAGATTAGATTATATTATATTTATAAATAATATTAGCTTTTTTTGGCTAGCCTGTACAGACGGACGGACAGACAGACAGACGGACAGTGATCTTTTATATAGTAGATCCCAAAGAGTAAAGTTTACCCGGAGTTTTATTTTGATTTTTAAACTGTACTGAACATTTGCTAACATTTGTACTAACAAATGTTTAGATACTAAGTATTTTTTGTAGCAAAACCCACCGATGATTGGTGTCGCTTTTTCGAGATGGGAATCGATTCCCAGCCAATCAACGACTGTGTGTCTAAATTTGGTCAAAAATTTCTTTCTAATTTCTAAATTTCTTTGTACTTTTATTCTTTTAGAACTCGTGGCTTTGAATCATTGGATTCTTTACTCTCATTCTTTTAGAAATTCTTTTAGACTACTCTCATTCTTTTAGAACTCATGGCTTTGAATCATTGGATTCTTTAGAAGCAATAACTTTGATTTTTCAAAAACCTGATAGCCCGAACGATGAACATATCCATATTGGTGGGATCGGTGAACGCGGCGGTGACCTCACGACGAACTGGAAAAAGGGAATGGGGTTGTTAAGAGCTGAGATTTTCAAATCGCATTCTCGGGTTCCATGACCGAGTGGCTATGAGCCCAGAGTGGCCCGGGCCGAGTGGCTAAGAGCTAGTCGGGTGGTTAAGGGTTCAATCCCGCCGACAAGACTTTTACTTCTTTTTTCCGGATGGGTTTAGGGCTTAGGAATTGTGCTTGTGTATTGTTTGTCACATTATTCGTGTCAATAAATACTTTCTTTTATGTAAGATGTTATTTACTGTAATTGCCCTGTAATTGCCCTGTAATCGTCTTCTTTTCCAAACACGAACCATTTACGAGCATCGCCGGATTGATGAACATGAAAATGACTCCGAAAAACGCGGCTAGAATTCGCATATTTTAGCCCATCAAACGAGTCGATCTTCGCCGGAATCGAAATAGCATTTCAGTGTGGGGGGAAAATTTGGGTAATTGGAAGAGCTGAAAGATTGGAATTTGAAAGTTTTAGATGAGAATTCGAGAGTTTCAGCTGAGAATTTGGATGTAAGATCGAGGAAATTGAATCGAGGATCGAGGAATCAAAAATGAGGAAATCTAAAGGTTTGAATGAAAAGCAAGCAACCTTTGCAACAAAAAAAAAAGCAATCAAACTGAGTTTCTTGGAGGAAATGATGAAATTGAACGTGTATTTTCAGAAATTATTCCTTAAATACAGAGCAAATCTTTTTGCCTGAGCAAAGCAAAAAAAAATGAAATCTAAAGGAGGAAAAGAACAATTTCCGGAGCATTGCAGACATTCGAGGAATCACTAAAAATAGAAAAATCAAGGGAAAATTAGGGAAAATGTGGAAAAACGAGAAAAATTCTAGTCAAACGTGATCGAATCAAAGATATTTTTTTTGAGTAAATTTAGTGATTCATTCAGAGATTACGAATTGTAGTCAAACAAATGATGACTATGAGACAGTTGTGATGAAAGTTGTGATGAAAGTTGTGATGAAGGTTGTGATAAAAGTTGTGATGAAAGTTGTGAAGGAATCGAAAAAGTACATTCGAGAAATTCGAGAAATTCGAATGTACATTCGAGAAATCGGAAAGTTCGGGTATACCAAATTGAGAACTCAATGAAATTTAGCACTTTGATCTTGATTTAGCTGACAATTTTTCATACTTTAATGGGAATATGAAGATGTAGATTTCCATTAAGACATAAGAATCATGCTTGACATGGACACGCTGATTCTAGAGTTGATTACTGATTACAATTGACTTTTCTTTACATTACTGATTACAATTGACTTCTCTTTACATTACTGATTACCTAGATCACATCACTTCTTAGCATATACTTTGTGCTTGTAGGAAAGGCTGAAACGCACCCTTTCTGGCACACTTAAACCATTGCTTTCCTTGCATTGCAGCAAGAAAAACAGAGAATTCACTGAATTCACTGAATTCGAAGTTGTGTGTTCACAGGTTTACATAAAGTTTAACCAAAAACTACGCAACAACAACTACGTACATAGTACAATGTGTTTACATGTGATAATTGCAGTCTTACAGCACAACGATTAAGCTTTGCTTGAAGAAAAGCCACATTTACATGCATCGAAATCTACTAAATGCCCAAAGAAGAAGATTTCTTACTCACAGAAATTTCAGCACTTCACGAAAATCTTCGAAATCTTCAAATCCTTTAATCTTCCTCATCTTCTAAAAAAGAAAAGATTACTAAACTCTTGGGCAATGTTTATTGATTAGGATTGAGATTTTCGAATAACAACTTCAATCCCCCGAATGCCAGATAATCTAGTCAAAATATAACAACTTCAATCCCCCGAATGCCAGTTAATCTACAGCCAGAATCTAGTCAAAATAATCACCCGAGTGCCTCGAAAATTCACAGCAACTAACAAGCAAATCAATAAAAGAAAAACGAATTTCACAATCTACTCATCGAATTAATGCGATTTCGCCGGTTCTCCGCCACAAAAAATCCATAAAAAGAATAAGTAATAGGAAATGTGAAAAGTGAAAAGTGAAAAAGAAGTAATTCTTTGGTAATTCAAAGTAATTCTTTACTTTTTCTTCGATCCTTTTTCCCCCAAATTGCGTCAATTGACACGAGCGATGAAAAAAGCGAAAAAAGAAAAAAAACTCCTCCTTTGGCTGAGAGCTGAGAAAATTATGCAAACTTTGGTGAGACTCATGAATAATTTTGAGAGAAAATTGGCGAATCCTTGTGATTTAATGAGAAGAAAAAGGTGTAATTGTTAACAGATTGAAGAAAAATTGGGAAAACTTGTTTTCTAAGAAGGTTCTGCGTAAGGAAATTAGGGAAATCTAGAATTTCAGTCTATTCGAATCGAATCTATCGTATTTCTTCGAATAGAAGACCGGGTAAAGAGTATCATCGCGTACTCCTGCGTAGCAGCCCTTTTTAACATTTCTTTTCTGCATAAAAGCTTTCAATCAAGTGCTATAGAGCTGGAAAATGACTCAAAAATACCACATGAGCTAACAGATTTTTGAGCCATTTTCCAGCTCTATAGCACTTGATTGAAAGCTTTTATGCAGAAAAGAAATGTTAAAGCGGGCTGCTACGCAGGAGTACGCGATGATACTCTTTACCTGGTCTTCTATTCGAAGAAGTACGGTATCTATAAATCTATAAATCGAGTACGGGATGATACTCTTTACCCGGTCTTCTATTCAAAGAAATACGGTATTTACTTTTTCCCTGATTCTTTGTGTGTTATCGAACGATTAAAAAGTGGATAGATTGGATAAAACTTGAAGTAACATTATGGTAGGCTATGCAAGGCAAGGCTATGCAAGGCAAGGCTAAGGTCTGAAGGCAAGTCCTGGCCTGGTTTGATCCAAATGTCCCTAATCCCGCCGGAATCAAGGCTTGAACTTGGCTTAAACCTGGCTTAAATCTGGCTTAAACCCTAGGCCTTGATTAAAACATTTCTATCATAGCTAATCATCAGATTTGCAGCTACAGTATATCTAAAAGTAAATCATATCTAACTAATAGATCGAAATAAAGACAAACAGCCATGAAATTGTCGACATCCATTTGAGTGATCCTCACAAGTTGCATGACCGCTTCGACATTCAACTCTAACCTTGTCAACACCTCGAACGCTTGCAGGATACAACGGAGTGGGCAGGTGTAGCGAACATTCGTTGTCAACAAATGCGTCAACGCGTTCTCGAAGTAGCGCGTTCGGGGAAATTCTTCGCCAGCATCCCGGAATTCGACAGAAAAAACGCGTACGTTGACATGTCAAGCCAGACAAAGTCGAATCGATCAATGAACCTTTGAATATACTCAATTCCGATACTTGCAGACATTTCAGTGTTACATATCAGTGTTACAAAAAGTCAACCAAATAAGGAAGTATATTTATCAAAAGCAAACAAAAAAGACAAAGTAAAACGTTAGAGAGGGTTGGAAAAGAGATGAAGAAGAAATCCATTATGGATGACTCTTTTCTGATTTGTTTATGAGGAGATTCATTTGTGATAATATTTTCCCGGAGATTCTTCCCTGAAAGAGTTGAAGAGAGGGATAATCCCGATCTCTTTCTTTTCCCTCAAATCCCATCCATTTCATTTCATCCAATCGATCCCCGCACTTTCATCAAAAATCCCCTCATCTACGTAAGAAAAGAGACATTTTTTCTTGTCAAAAAAGGCATTTCTTTTCTTTTTCCTCATAGAAAAATGTCTTTTCAAAAAGATCGAGATTACTTTGGAAAATTTGATTAAAAAGTTCGATGAGAATCTGCACGGAAATTTGCGTTTTTTGAAGTTATTCGAGAAAAATGGAATCATGAAGAAAAGTTGAAGAGAAACGGGGTAGGCTAGTTACCGCAACTTTTTTTGCGCAACAGGGTCATTTGCGCAACTGGGTCTTTTGCTCAACTCGCCATAACTTTCTTCTAAGTGGGCTAATCTGTCTGGTTTTGGTCTCATTTTGTTGCACTTATTGAGATCTATAAAATGAGACCAAAACCAGACAGATTAGCCCACTTAGAAGAAAGTTATGGCGAGTTGCGCAAATGACCCTGTTGCGCAAATGACCCTGTTGCGCAAATGACCCTGTTGCGCAAATGACCCTGTTGCGCAAATGACCCTGTTGCGCAAAATAAGTTGCGGAAACTAGCCTACCCTAGAGAAACTACAGAATGTTTAAGGTTTAAAGCATTAATTTACTTTTGTACTTTCTCAAAAAAAGCAATTTATAAGTCTAGAGTTTCAAGCCAACTACAGGAAATGCAAGAAACTGACTCATGTGAATATTCCAATTGAAATTTAAGTTCAAAAGTCAAGAGCTGACCAAAGCTGAAAGGAAATGACCAAAGCTTTCAGACTTTGTACTTGCTGAAAACAAAATCTTAACAATCTTGATAAGTCAGATTATAATTAAAAGCTGCCGTCAATTACTCAAGTAAAGCTTCAAAGCGAAACATCAAAAAGCCTCAAAGCGTTAAGCCTCAAAAAGAGCAACTTTCTACTTTCTATTTCTTGCTCAACTTGGGGTATTGTAATTTCCGCCAAATCTATTTCGCGGAGGTGCTAGCAAAAGCGCCAAATTATTTGCGCCACGTATAATTTGCACCAAATTTTTTGCGTCAAATTTACGCTTACCGTAAATACTGTAATAGTACCCCACCCCCTCGTACAGTCGCGTAGTCGCAAAAGGTTTTTAGTATTTCATTTTTTTCAAAGCGCCGGTACTTTCAAAAAATAAGTCTTTGGTATGAAAAAATAGCTGAAATTCAGGGCTATTTTTTGATACCTAAGCGCGCATTGTAGCATAAACCAGTCTCGGGAAAAACTCGTTCAAAGCCAGACTACGCAACACTCCGCACCGTCATTATGTGGGTGGGGGGTACTATTACAGTATTTACGGTAGGAAAATCACTGTAGCAAATCACTTTCCCCCAACTTCTAACCAACTTTTTTTTTCAATTTTCTGCTTCTGATAAAACCCAGCAGAAAACTGAAAAAAAGTTGGTTAGAAGTTTGGAAAAAGTGATTTGTTGCAGTGATTTTCATAAGCGTAAATTTAGCGCAAATGAAATTGGCGCAAAGGATTTTGGCGCAAAAAACGCGACGCTTTTGCTAGCACTTCATTTCGTGTCCTTTACTGGCGATTGAAAACTTTGATTTTTACTCGTTGATCATTTTTATTAGTGTGCATTTCCTTTTTTGTTACCCATTTTATTCAAAATATAGCATTTCTCTCTTTTGCCTTCATTCGAGTCCCACAACGATTTGCTGCGTACTTTCGCAAAAAGAGCGCACCGTCCGTTGAGTTTTGCCACTTTTCTCCCTTCGAAGCGACTGATAAACTTAATTTTTCTGCGTTTGCCTTGTTTTCTTTTTAAATTTTAACAATCTTATTATATTTTAGCGATGTTGGCCGTTCGCACGCTTGGTGTGGCTCGTTTGTCGGTACGCTCCGCCTCGCAAGCCTTCCAAACGATCCCAACAAACGCCGGAAAAGTACCACCGAAGCTCGAAGATTTCGACCCGCTCAATCCCGGAGAGTGGCAACTTGGGGTTTGTCTTTTTGTTTTATATTGTTAAAGTTTAATGATGCGTGCGTTGATTGCTAAAGTTCTTCATTATGAATCAATTGCATTAGTTTATGCTTCAAGTTTTGTTTTTGTTTTGTTTATGCTTTCATAAACATTAAACAACATAAATCTTTTGGTCAACAAGGCTCAACAAAGTTTTTGATGCTAAACAGCTTGTTGTTATTTCAATCCAACAACTAAACATTGTTAATTTATTCGGCAGAATATCTTTGTAGCTGCAATGCTAGTTTTTAAATAGCTAATGTTTATAATAATTTCAATTTTGTACTATTTATCTATTTTAGGCTGGAGGAAAGATTCTTCCCCGACTCCCAGAAGGCACAAGATGTGGTAAACTCGTGATGGGCAAATACGGACTCTACGATCCCGTGCTCAAAAAACGTGTCGACACCTACTCGGTTTGTTTTTTTTGTACGACCTATATTAAAAAGAACAAACAGTTAATGTTCATGCATTGAAAAGTTTACGGAACTTTAACATATGTTTTGCTAGCAAAATTTTGATAATTAAGTTTAACGTATTAAGCGCAATGTTTTCAACCAGATTCTACTTACAATCGGCACATTTGACTAGGTATTCCAATTTTCGCTATAGATGAGGGTTTAACAACAAAAAGTTAATATATTATTTAAGCTTATTTAACGTCAATTTTTTAGAAAGCTCTCCTTGAAGGAAAAAAATCCGAGGACGCCGGTCCATTTGATCGAGGACTCACCTCTGTTGTTAAAGTGCTTTCAACCTGCTGCCTTGTGCTTGGTGAGCTTTAAAGTTATTGAAAAGGAGTTGTCGAGCAAAAGAATTAGGAAATATACGCTTGTGTTTTGAGACAATTGGGTGCGCATGAACTGTGATTTTCAAGGCTACTAAAGGTTGTAAATCTATCTGGAAAGCTAAACGTTTTTATAACCTCCGTATCGAGGTCAAATGTTAATCAATTTACTTGCTACAAGAATAAATTTTCAATTTCAGGATTGTACAACTTGGCCACCCTCTTCATCGGCCACCCACTTCCACCATTCTCTCACCTGAAAGCCCCCGGATCGTAGATCAATGAAATATGGTCAACACCGATTGATTCTATAGCTTTTTCTGTTTCGTTAATTTTCCTGAGAAAAATGTAATTGTTATCATTTAGCCGTAGACATAAAGACGAGTAATTGTCATGTTTCTTATGTATGTACTTTTATTGGAGTTCTTTATAAATCGTTCACCTTTGTGTATTGGCACTCATTGATGATGGCTTGAAAACAACTAGATATACCTATCTTTTTTAAAAAAAACACTTGTTTTTAAGTGTAGCTTGACTTTCAGTGCATGTACCGAGCGGCTCGAATGGCAGTCCCGGAAAACCAAGATTTTGAATCGGACGAGCATTTTGGAGTGGCAAGCACTTCAGAAGGAGCTCAAGTAGAACAGGTGCAAATGAAATTTAAATAATAGAGATCATCAAAAGATCTAGGCAAGTTTAAACTGGAGTTTGCGCATGAGTTGAGTCTAGTACCGGGGTCTTATTCCGTGTTCTGGTGAGCTTGATTTTATAAATAGATAATGAATTTTAAAGCTGCGACAAACGGATGCTAACGATCATTAAATCAAAGGCTAATTGTAAATAAACTTTACAAAAATATCTTTCTAGAAAATGCTCAAACTCGATCGTGCCTTTATTGCTCAACATGCACTTGACGTCGAGTTGTAAGTTGTCATAAGAATGGCTAATGAGAAAAATTTTCTAGCGCCATTGTTTGTCGAAATCCGTTGGACGGAATCTACATCATTCCGAGTGCAAGTGATCCATTCAGTTGGTTTTAACAGATGCATTATAGCCGAGCCAGTATATGGGAAAACAAGTATGACAATTGCAGGATGGTTTGGAATGTTATTTGTGCGACGAGGCGATTATGCTGGAGCCATTCTTCGCTTCACGATACAAATGCCTTCCGATTTTCCGCAAACCGACGAACTGCCGGTTAGTTTTTTGGGAATTGGAATGCGGTTTAACCGGCACTATAGTTGGATGCAGATTGGTGTTAAATATAGACCAGTTAACAAATTAGCAACCATTACAAGACTTTTGCAAAACATTTACAGTAAGCAAGCTATACATTTCCAGGTGGTTCACTTTGAGAACGAGGTTTTCCATCCGAATGTAAATCTGAAAACGCATGAGCTTGGAATGTCAAGGTACGATTAAAGAAAATCCTATTGTCAAAAATTCTCTTCAGATATTTCCCCGATGGTTGGAAGCGAGATAAACATCACATTTACAATGTGTTACTCGTTGTTCAGGTAGTCATTATACCATTTTTCAATAGTTTTCAATAGTTTGGGTCATCTTTCAATTCAACTTAAAGCTTTCAGCGCATTTTCTTCTCCCTGCGAGTACCGATTGAGCATGCGACAAATCCCGAGGCGGCGATTTTATACGAGAGTGATAAGGTATGATCTTTACTGGACTACGGGCGCTTTTTTCCCCCACAGAGAAAGGAGGCGGATTAAGAAAAGAAGCGAGAAGACATAATCTCTCATCGAGTCCGTATTTAAAAGAATTAGAAAGCTAAAACGTTTCTAACTTTCGCTAGCCACCTTAATCTTTTTTTGATTTTTCAGGACAAATTCCGCGAAATGGTGATGAATTGTGTGAATCAAACGCGCGTTCGCATCTACGACGATCCACCGCAAATCGCTGATCCGAATTCGATTTGGTAAGTGAAATAAAATGGTTCAATATATTAGAAAACAAGAATTTATAATTGAACTTAAAATCACAAGGCAAGTTAGAAGGAAAAATAAAACTCTTTGCGGAGAGAGTCCGCTCTTTTTTGTGGACACGCCCACTTCAGTCTTATGCAGCTTTTGCAGCTTTTACTCCAGTTCTTTTAAAAGTTTGATATCCAGAGTTATTGCCTGATTCTAAGCTGTTGTCTACTAAACTTTAAAAATAAAAATTTTTATCTAATTTTATTCTGTTTCAGGGTTTCCCCGTGGAATTCGACCGAGCACGAACCGCAACGGAAGCTGATGATGTTGCTTGGGAAAGGAATGGGTGGAGGTTAGTGGATGGAAACGAAAAAAAATGAACAAATTGACTCGTGAAGCTTTTTGAAATGCTCTTTCTGCTCAAATTTGATGTAAACAAATCAAATATGATATTGGTGATTCGAATATCAAAATTGTATATAGAGCAAGTACAAATCCGAGCTGTAGACGAAGCTGATTGGTACACTTGGATGAATTCTTTGTACAGTAGAAATAGAAGTGGAAGTAGAAGTAGAAATTAATTGTGAAAACCTAATAAGCTGTATGGAAAAATGTCAATTCCAACCAAATTCCACCTTTTCGTTTTCTAGACCGATTCTTGGCCCATTTTCTCAGCCGTCCCTTGGCCAATTGCTCTGAAATTTTGTCTACAGATAAGCTAAGCTTGTAGACAAAATCGACATCAACTTGTAGACAAAATTTCAGTCCAATCGGTCAAAAAAGGCCAAAAAACAAAGGTGGAGTTAGGTTCGGATTGGAATTTTCCCATGTCTAAGCTGTATCAAGCAATATGTTTTCTCTTAACTCGATAACTTTTGCAGAGAACCAAGCGTGGAGCGAGCGCGGCCACAAGGGCGGATTCTCGTGGCTCGATCCGGAGAGAATGACTTATATGACTGAACCATTCACAAATGCTGAGGTTAGTTTTGGTGAAGGGAACTTTAAAAAAAAACACTGTAAACATACCCTTTCTGGCGTACCGTTTTTTGTATTCATGAAAGTCGAAATGAAATTCAATCATCCAATTTTTGATCCCGAATTGTTTCATTTTCTTATTACTGGCGAAAATCAATCAAGAATTTCTTGCGCGAAAACGTGTAGCTTTGAAAGGATTGCTACCGTAAATACTGTAGTAGTACCCCTTGTACAGTCGCGTAGTCGCAAAAGTTTTTTGGTATTTCATTTTTTTCAAAGCGCCCGTACTTTCAAAAAATGCGTCTTTGGTATGAAAAAATAGCTGAAATTCAGGGCTATTTTTTGATACCTAAACGCGCATTTTAGCATAAACCAGTGTCGAGAAAAACTCGTTCAAAGCCAGACTACGCAACACTCCGCACCGTCATTATGGGGGTGGGGTACTATTGCAATATTTACGGTAGCTGTTTTGAATAGTATTATTTGCTAGATATTTTTGGTTATTTTAAAGAGTTAATTCTTTTAAAAAATGGTTTGTTTTGAGCCATTTCACCTGCTTTCATTGTTATTAAGCCAAAAATTGACTCAAAGCATAAACTAGAAATCAAAATAATATGGGAATTTCATTTTAAAAGGTTTACACCTTTTTTCCCATATGTTTTAGCGTGTACTTTGTGCTCAAAAACACTGTAAACATACCCTTTCTAGCGTACCGTTTTTAGCAAAAACAAAAAATCGCACTTTTTACTCGAAAAATTTCTAGAAAACTACTCAATTCTCAACCTTAGGTTGAGAATTGAGTAGTTTTTGTATGAACTCTATGAACTGGCTGCTACAATCATAGCAAGTTCATAGATTGAGAACATAGCTTTCTTAAAACTGCGTAACTAATCGGAAATCTGCTCGAATGAACAGCTGAATGAACCAAATTTTGCGCTCTTACTCGATCGCTTTATGCTTTTTTTTCCTCAGCTCCAAAAACCCTTCCCACCAACTCACGCTTGATTGCGTGATCGAAGAAAAAAAAACTTTGAGCTTTGATCCTCAAGTCTTAAAGAAACTAGCTGATTTCTTAGAAATGCATAATGCATAAAATGCATAAAATAGAAATTTTTAAAAGATTAATGAGTTTTTTAGAGAAAACAACTGAATTTCATGGAATTTAGTATTGCAAAAAAGCATTTCTAACAGCCAAAAGCCACCCTTTTGCTCTTGTCAAATCAGTAGTCAAATCAGCGATCAAATCAGCAGTCAGATCAGCAGTCAAATCAGCAATCAAATCAGCAGTCAAATCAACAATCAAATCAGCAGTCAAATCAGCAATCAAATCAGCAGTCAAATCAGCAATCAAATCAAAAACTTTAGCACAATTTTTGACCATTCAGGAAGAAGCGATGGACAAAGCGGCTACCGACCGGGCAATTCATGGAATCGAACGCCTTGATTTGAGTCTCGTGAATGATGGAGAAGAAGAGATTCACGAAAAAGGAGATCAAATTCAACAAGAAAAGCAAATGAAGAAAGAACAAAATGTAAATTCAGAAATATAAAAAAGCAATACAAATTAAAGTTTCAGATTTCTCACAAAAAATTGGCCCTAGCAGAGAAAAATGGAGACGGGAAACGAGAAGAAACCAGTGATGTTTAATCTTTCAATCTTTCAGTTCACTTATCGCTTATTTGATTTCTTTTGTGATATCTTTAAAGAAAATTTTTACTGACATAACATAATTGACATAATAATACATTTGATTCAATGTGATTCATGTGGGAGTAAAGGATTCGGACTCTGAAAAGCTCTGGAAAGCTCTGACAAACTTACGACCAAAAAGAGAGTCTAATGGAATGTTAAAATGTTTAGCTCGACATCAATCTTCTAACTGTGACTTTCAATAAAGCTCTTGCTCTATGAAATTCGGTAAAAGTAAGCGTTAAGGGTTAACCAGGCTCAAAATCACAAGAGATATTGTTCGAAGGGATCAAGAGATCAAGAGATCAAGGGATCAAGAGATCAAGGGATCAAGAGAATTCTGGAGTCTATTCATTTCAAACTTGGCATACCCAAGTGCTAAAGTTGTGTCGTTTTTCGAATTCTCTAAAACCTTTCTGGTTGATTTTATTTCACAAGTATTTATAGCCAAAAGATAGCCAATCTTTTACAGAATTTAAATCTAATTACAGTTTTTAAATAAATTTTTTAGAGTCCAAGTTATCGCTATTCTATGCTCTTCAAAAAAAAAGTATGGTTTCACATATTGGGTTGATGAATTGAAAGCTGCCGATGAATTGAGGTGACTTGAAAGCTCATATGTCACAGTTTGAGCACTTTCTTCAAAAGAAACCCATTTTGGTGTCAATGGAAACGTTGTAGAGAATCAAAAATGAAGCTTATATCCAAATTTCCAAAAAGATACACTTAGTAGCTCGGCTTAAAATTTGTGTGTTCTTTGTGTTCTTTGTGTGTCGCGTAATCGCTCGTCGTCTGGCGCAGGGTTTTTACAAAACCCCCTTCCCTCTCTGCTCCGCAATTTCTTCTGGCCCTTTCCGAATCTTCAAATTCGACATTGACTTCTCCGCAAATCAAGGCTAATCTCAATCTATTGGGTTGGTGAATTGAAAACTGCAGGCTATTGTCATATGTCACAGTTTGAGGTCTTTCTTCAAAAGAAACCCATTTTGGTGTCAATGGAAAAGTTGTAGAGAATCAAAAATGAAGCTTATATCCAAATTTTCAGAACGCTTCAGAAACTGGTTTTCAAGAAATGCTAATTTTACGGAACTTTCACAAAACTTGCATTTTAAGCGAAACTACTAAGTGTATCTTTTTGGAAATTTGGCTATAAGCCTCATTTTTGATTCTCTACAACTTTTCCATTGACATCTATCAAGGTAAATATCAAGCGTTAACTCTGCTTAAAAAATACTGACTATTCTTTTAGAAAAACAACCGACCGACGTTTGGCTTCTTCAATCTTGTTGTGTAAGTACATGAGATGTTGTGGATCCGCAGAGATCGCATCGATGAAGCTTGGCTGCTGGAAAGACCGAATTTTCGTCGTATTCTGCACACAAACAAAAAGTGGTTTACCTTAAGGCCAACATCTACTTTATATACATTAAATCGAATTTCAAGCTACGCTAGTCTAACTATTAGGGGTTTGCAAAAGAAACTGCGTATTATACGCAACGTTCAAACACCTCGAAAATTAATAATAAAAGACTTTATTCCAAAAGGTACTCGCCAAAATTATCAACTATATTTTTCCATTTTTTGTAGACTTCGGATGTCTGATTCGAAAAATTCGGGGTCCCGCGATGCAAAGTAGTCTTGCACCCAAATTTCGACTTCTTCAGGATTGTTAAACTTTAGTTTTGCAAGAGAGTGTTGCATAGACAGGAACGAGTGGTAATCTGAGGGAGCGATATCAGGCGAATCTTAAAGGATTGAGTAGTCCCCACGCCCGATTTCGTCGATTCTTCTTCTTTTGCCTCTTCTTCACTCTTCGGATTCAAAGATGGAGAACTCACACTGCCCCTCGAGTCACCCCCGGCGGCTTGCCGATTTCCTGAAAAATAGAATTGATAAAACTTAATTCTTAAGAACTAAAATTAAGAACAATGGCAATCGTTAATTTCGACACTTTTATCTTTTCGGGTAAGTAAGAGGAAGGTTCGTGAAATCCAAAGTGGCAAAATTAACGTTGGCGAAAAAAACAATAAAAGTAAACCCAAGAAAAATGCAACAAACCTTGAAAGAAGCGAGGGCAATAGCACAATTTCTTGAGAAGCCGGATCATTTCAAGAATCTTTGTACGATAAAGCCATCTGTGCTCGGATCCTTTATATTTAAAGTTTACATGCAAATTTCAAATCCTCACCAATGCTTGAGAACTCAAACTTGAGAAAAGAAAAAGTTCGATGATTGAGGGATCAAATGGGAATGAAGTCAACGTAAGTGAAATGTAAACGAAGTAAATAAGAACTCGACCCTCTCCAGTCACGCCGAGTTTGTCACTAAATAAGAACTTTTTTAGGATAAAAAACCTGACTTTCTTTTAAAATTTTAAACTTTTAAGCATTAAAGAAACCCACGAATAGAATACGCAATGGAGACTCTTCGGCAAATCACTGATCCAACATTGTTTGTCCAAGAATTGAGAGAATGACCAAGTATTCGGAGCTTCCGCCGACATTGATCCCTATAATCGAACCACTCTTTGATACGACGAGACCCCCCAGAAGCGCAGGGCTGGTCCTCTATATGTGCCGTTATCCAACTTCTTCCTATAAAGAAGTAAACAATTAATCGTTCACGCTTCATCCCCAACAGATAGCAGGGCATCTCGATAATTAAAAAAACCAAAAACAAGAAATCAATATACACCTAATAGAAGGGCACCATGTCGAGGTCGAATGAAGTCGAAAAGAGAATTCGATCCTCTCCCGTCACGCCGAGTTTGTCACTAAATAAAGATTAGAATGTTTTTGTCGTCCTCAGGGTACGTCGATTTGTTTCGGCTTTCCAGTGGTGCCAGTTGTAGAAATGCGGCAGGCTATCGGAGTGTTCGGAAATTTAATACCCTTGTCCGATATGGGAACCTGAAAAGCCACAAATCATTGCCTCATCGCGTCACCAACTTTCTCGAGCAGTTTATCCTCTCGAATCAAAGCACGAATCTTGAATGCATCAGGTTTTTACCCGAAATTTTTATCAAAACTTTTCAAAACAAAAAAGTACGATACATATGAAATCGTTTTCTTTTCATTTCACAAAAGATTTTAAAACTTTATTTTGACAAATTGAAAGACAACAAATAAAATAGATAAAATACCAATAATATGTCAATTCAAAAAATGGAAACAATGATAGAAAGCAATTAAAAAGATACAATAATCATCAAAGAGTCATTATTTTACTTGACTGGAACGTAGAAGGCCAGAAAGTAACAGTCTTTTTCACCATTGTCATGATCATCAACAGCGTGATTTTGGTACATGTAGATACAATCCTTGGTTGAATCAATACGTCGACGAAACATTGAGCTTTCCATGTCAAAAATGTTGCCTGTTGCCTCAAATCCTCGAGATTCTCTAGAATTCCATGTCGGACGCGTCCCCGCAAACTGATTCGCCTGTTTGACAAGTCGAAGACGATTTTCTCCATCGATTCGTCGCATTCCTGGATATTGTGAGAGATCCATCGTGGGAGGTGGAAATTCGCGTGAATAAATGTCGATAGCAGCCTCAGGGTTCTTGGTCGGGATTCCATTAGTGATGATCTGTCGAGCAAAAAAATCAATGTAGCCACGACACCAAACAACCAAAGAGACGTTTTTGACTTGAGTCTTCAACAAAGCGTTGCAGTAAAAGCGAAATGAATCTTCGAAATTACTATAAAACGTAATTGTAATTTTCTCGCAACCCTTGAGTCGTGCCACGATGAAATTCTCGATCAGATCTTTGATAGCTTGATCCTTGAATCTAATCGGAAAGAATGGAATTGTATAGTGTAAACCAGTATTAATTGAAGTAGGAGGTAAAGGAGGAAGCTCAACGAATATGATCCTCAAGCTTGCTTCTTTTTTGATCGATGCGTGGAAATTTGAAAAGAATTTCTCGAGGGGTTCTTCTAAAAACTGTCTCAGCCACAATTGATTCACCGACTTCAAATTATTCAGAAGTTTGTATGGAGCGTTTTTAGATGTTTTGATGACCCCCAAATCATTGCACGATCGAATCTTCTTAGCGAAAGAAAAGTGCAAAAAGAAGCCATCGACATTGAGCTTCATTGCATCTGAATCTGAAAACTTCTTGATCCAAATCATCTCATCTCGTAATTCAATCTTAGAGACGTGCTCTCCAAAAACGATCGACGGATCCCTCACGAGCATCCGTTGAAATCCTTTATTCCCCTTCGCCAATTCAAACACATCCCTTGGTTGCATTTGTTCCAACACTTCCAACTTCAAATCGAAGCACAACTTCTCCATTGGAAATGAGGTCAAACTCTTCATTTCGAACGGCATTTCCATTGTCGCCATTCTTCCACCTGCAAATTAAAAAGATCAGACTTTGTTACAATATAAGAAAGGCGCTTTACAAATCACGGAATAGCTAAGGAAATCGTGAAATCGCCTTGGGACACCCAGGCCGTAAAGCCCTACAAAAATTAAAGTCAATCAATCAAGAAATCAATACGTGAATCAATCAAGAGATTGAAGACTGCTTCAAACAGTAACTTCATCAACGAACCATATTCAATAAATTTATTACAAATAACAACGATAAAGAGAAAAGTTAGTAAAAAATAACAAAAGCCATAACATTCTAATCGGTCAACATTCAGAAAACAAAAAGAACAATCAAGTATTTCCTCAACAATAAATAACAATTAACAATCTATGGCTCATGGTTCATCAACGACTTCTCAACGATGCTTCGACGTTCAAGATGCGACTCATGATTTGCTTCTCCATAACATCCAGGCGCGGCTCTTTTATCTCCACCTTCGCAGTGACTTTGTATTAATCAACCATCCCTGAATTATAGTCCTTAAATAATCATATCATTTATCCTTTATGAAATATCATTTTAATAATCATTCATTAAAAATCCGCCCTCATCCTCATCTTCACGGATCGCCAC